TCTGAGTGCTGCATGACTGAGGAAGACTGAGATCAAATCTATAAACATGTAGTCTTTTGTTCATCAAAACATGTGCAGAAAAGAGTGACAGAGTTTATGAGTTGGATAACTATATGAACCTTTCTTGCTTGGCAATATGTTCAACTTCACTTATAGTTTATATATATCCATGAAAGTAGCGTCTAATGAGCAAATAGCATTCCCGAACAAGCATAATAAAGTTAGGAAGGACTTGCAATGTTTGTTTGTGCCTCAGGCTTCCTGAATCAAATCACCATCTTCTACATTAAAGAGACTTGTGTTATCCAAGAAGTATTAAAATAAAAATGTTAACTTTAAAGCTGAGCATAATATGCATTACATTTTGGAAACCTGTAATTTAAAAGACATAAAGTAAGCTAGGCTACTGTACCAGTCTAATAAAACTTGTGGAAAAGTGTATGACTTTCATTCAGTACTTTAGCCTTCATAGTTAAACATTATAAATGTTTATTACATATATATGGAAAGATGTTCAAGTGACTATCAAGCAAGTCAAGCAGAAAAGGTAAAGGAGATTTTTGATCAGTTCCTTAATACATTTCTTGTATGTGGTTAATACTCTAGTTACACTCTTAAATAGTTCAACTCCTAATATTAACTTTCCCCTTAGTTTTCAGTTTTATCAGAGAAAATAACTGAATAATTTTCTCTGTCATACTAAGTGAAAATTTGTTTTAAGCCATGCAGTACAATAATTCTTCTGAATAGTATAGCTAAAAAAGTGAAGAGATAAACAGTAACAGTTTATTTAATTCAGTGAAGAGGACATCTCATTAGATTATCTCATAGCAATCAAACAACATACTGCAAAAGCCAAATGACCAATCATTAAATGGTGTTTTTTTCTTCTTCCCCAGGCAAATAGAGATTAAGTGAAGTTAATGAATTCACTTTAAGGCATTAAGTTAAATTGCACGACTTAAAGGAAGAGAAACAAAGCACCGTGTAGCTTGCATCTAAGGTGGCATAGCTGACGTGATTTCTGGAAAATCATTCATTTATATAATCAGCCATTAGCTGTCATTTATGTTCACTGTGGAAGGGACCACAGTAATATATCCTAAACGAATTCCAGCTCAATGCCCACTTCAGTGTTTTACAATTTCTCTGGCACATGCTTAGTGAAAGCCTGCCACTCTGCAACAGAGGAGGGAATTACTACTGTAAACCCACAGGTATACTTCAATAGAAATATATTGGATTCACACACACAGAGTGGAATCTATTTCAATTAAAAGAAAGGCTAGCTAGTTACAGTAGCTAACAATAGTTCTAGTAGTCTTATTGCACACTTCACAGTATCTTGGGCATGTCAGAAGTCGAAACCATATTAGAGCTCTTCTGAAAGTATATTCAAACAGCTGACATTCATCTCAGATTATTTATCCCAGACATACTGTATGTAAATCATCCACCAACATGCGAAAGGTTTATTTCATCCTTTTGCTATAAACTGGTGGGTTTAGACATGCGTTCAGTGTATAACCACCTTTTTATCCTATTATGTTAATGTTCCTCATATGCGAAAAGTGTAGGTAGCTCCATATAAAATGATCTCTCTTCTAAACCCTCAGAGTTGACAAATGCTGACAAATCAAAGTGCATTAACCTGGAAAGGTTTGGGATTTTTTGTATCCATCTCCATTTACTGGAGACTTCTGATCAGAAAATGAGACCAAAAAAACATAAAAATCAACAATTATTCATACCCATTTACTTTTCTATAAAAGCAAATCCCTCCATGTTACTTGCAACTGGTACATAGTATTATTTATGTTGTAATGGTGAAAAAAGAAAGTTCATTCCTCTAAGTAAATACACCATCCACCCTTCCTCCCCACTTCCTGCCCCCTACCTATCCCCACTACCACTACTATAATTCACCTGCTCATTGGAACTGATCACGCTCTAAGCAAAATGTCAGTGTTTGGCTGTAAATCTGTGTAAATGTTTTTTCTCCCTGAAACCTTCATGTTAAAGCAGGATGCTCATCAAGGTCACTGTAAGAGATTACGGTTTTCAGTCTGGCAGAGAAGATGCTAAGAAAATCAATAAACACAAACACAATTAAACATGCTTTGAAGTCTGCTGTTTGCCAATTTCATGTGGAATCACATCTTTAGCTCCTGAATTTCAGAGATGTATGGGAAGTTGTTATGGTGAGGCAGGTTGGCTAGTTTATGCACTAGCTATGCAGAAAGGTGAACAGGAGATTTGGCGTTTTGCAGTGTGGCAGATTAGTTCTGAGTAAACTATCTTCAACTGAATTTTTAGGAAGAGATTACAGCTTCCTGGGCCTGCTGCCTCCTAAGTGGAGTTTTGCCATGGTCTTCCATGGGAGCAGGACTGGCCACTTCACCTACTACACCTTTTCTGTATGTCCTGTTAAACTGAGACCATACCAGACTCAACTTTTGTTTTGTGACAAATGTCAGTTACCAGAAGAAGATCAATAAATGTACACACATTAAAAAAGACAGGAAAGCAAAACCCACACAGAGAAGGAGCATCAGAGAAAAACAAAATTACCAAATGACATGGCTAAAAGTTAAAAGGTATGCAAATCAAATTCAATCACTGTCTTGCATGCCTGAGAGACACACAGGGCTGTCCTACAAGAGCTGTTGCTAAAATGCACTCTGTTAAGAGACTCTCAATATTAGTTACACATGAACACAGAGACAAAAAAACATTTAATATGTTAATAAAAATATAAGGCATCATTTCCATTTGCTGTTGTTGCACAAGTGGTCACCACCCGATTTCTTTAAGATTGTTCTTGCAAAGCTAAGGAACATAGATGCTGTAAAAGGGATGTTTACAATGCACTTCAACAGAGTTGGACCAATGCTGGGTTGCAACAGATCCCCTCTCACTATCACAAACCTCTCAAATAAAGAGACCTCGAAATCTAAAACTGCAGATGGCTCCACTACCCGTCCTCCCTCCAGACAAGGAGTTTCAAACCAACAGCTGCAAACAGATTAAGGTAATACGTTTACTAACAACGGCAATCAGGATTGTAAGCAATGACTTACTTGCCAATATGCTAGCGTTAGGCGATCTGCTCTCCGTTGCAGAAACGTTGCAGAGCTTATACTCTTCGGATCTCCTCTCAGACCTCTGTCCAAAGTATTTCCAAACCACTCGGGCACATCTCCACGGTTATTTGGCGTAATACAGAAAATCTCTCACCTGGCCCCCGAACTCAGTGCCCATGATTTAAATCAAAGCCTCCGGAAAGTTACACTCTGATTTGTGTTAAAAAAAAATTAAAATCGGATTGAAGTCGCTGGTGAGATCTCAAACTCCGGAGCGGAACGACGCCACCGTCCCTGTTTGCGGTTGCATGGAGGGGGGTTACTTGCAGTCCACCCAAAACAATAAATAAATAAATCAGAGGGGAGGAGGGGGAGCGAGAGATTAGGGAGCGCCGCCCTTTTAGCAGCAGGGAGAGGCAAGCCGGGGTATAAGCACCTGCAGCAACAGCAGCGCTGTGTCCCAGTGCCGGCTGGGTCCAGAGGCGCTGTCCATCCCTGCTGGTGTTGAGCAGAGACACCGAGAGACCCTGCCAGCCCCCAGAGCTGCCCACCTCCCTTCCAACCCACCAGCTTGCTTCTTGCTTGTCTCGCCTCAGTGGCTTCCCCCTTTCGTCGGCTCCCGCTAGGATTCGCCGCGCGGGGTTTAGCTGGGTTTTATCTGTAGCGTATTCTCCGCTGGTGGAGCTCGGGAGAAAATCCAGCGATGCTCAGGTCCCTGGCCAGGCCCTCCTTTGCTAATCAGACCCTATCAGAGAGCGAGAGCGAGATGGCGATTAGGCGGACTCAATGAGTGAAGCAGGAAACTTACACCGCGCCTTTGCAAAGTCCAGCGCGTGATTTAGGAGACAGGAAGCAGGGCTCTGTCCGGAACCTGTGGGGGTATCACCTGGGAGCAGCACCCTGAATGGTGGCATGCAGCTTGAGGACAGGGATTGCGGTCCTCCATTCAGACCCGGCTGGGAGAGGCGGCTTCTCAGTTCCCCTTAGAGCCCCCAAAAGGAAATCACACGTGATTAGGAGAAGTTGATGCTGCTAGGGAGAGCTCTTTAAAAGGGAAAAAAGGCAAAGCTGGGTCCCTAGAGGGAGAAAGTGGATCCTGCAAAATCCTGTCAGTTTGGGGCCCCAGAAGCCCACGTTTCACTGCCTAAAGGGAGTCCAAATCCAGGCATTCCTATTATTTCAAAATAACCCTGGTCCCCACCTATCCCAGTGCAACAGCGCCACAAGAATTTGCAACCTCCACCTGGATGCTAAGAGAACCAGCCAATCTGGGGGCTCTACCCCCCTAAAATACTATTGTATAAGTACAAAGTTTGCCACCGGGATAGAGAATAAATGTGGCTTATCTATTGGACGACCCACTCCTGACCTACCCTACCTAAATCTGTATCAGGGACATCAGTGCTTTCCACATCAACCATAAAACCTTGCAACTGACTATTAGCAGGTCCTGGTTTTGCCCTGGAACCTCCACATTCTATTGTCTAAACAGAGAATTCATTTAGCGTCTCCTGTTGTACCTTAAAACTCCACATGGATGTGTCCGAAAGCCAAAATACCACATAAATTTAGATCCCACATCTGGAGCTTGCCAAAGTTTCACCAAACACTCAGAACTTGTACCCTGAAAACAGAGCAAAAGGTGTTATTTCTACTTTTCCATCAAAAATCCGGACTTCAGAAAATCTTGTAAGGGCAGATATTTTAATTTGGGCACATATATAGTGCTAGAAATGGCTAATTTAGGCTTGTATATGCCGTTTTACCATCTCCACTCTTACTATACGTCATGAAATGCAATGTTTCCCCATTGTATAGCTTGTCGTGTATTTATTCCTTGGCAGATGGAAAGCCATAATACATCAAGTTCTATATTCAGCAAAAGTTATGTACTGCTTTTTTAATAGATTCATTTAAAGCTACAGAGACTTCTTTTTTTTTTAATGTTAAAGGAAACGTTATAGTCTTCATCCAGTTTCTTGTCAATTAAATCGCATAGTCTAGAAACCCTTGACTGTTTTCTAATTTGGACTCTGGTACTTTGATTTTGTTGTCGTTCCATCTGCTAAGGAAATAACATCCTGATTACTACTACTCTTGACAGGAATTAGATAAACAGACATCCATATTTCATTATTTGCATGGCTGATCATTTATGGAACATCGCAGATCTGAGGTTTGTCTCCAGCTTTTATCATTAACATTTAAAATACATATTCCTAACTTGTTGCAGTTTCACTGGTTAAACTTATTTACGGCTTTCTATATAATTGTGAAGGATGATGGGGGGGGGTAGGGGGCAGTGTTGGTGCATCATGATACATTTGGGCCTGGATTCTGTAGATTAGGGGAGCTGCACATGTACTAAAATTTAGGTAAGAAAATCAGGGGGGTGCAAAAAGAAATAACCTGGTGCCAAATTAGAGTTTGTGCAGCTCTATACTAGCATTTGTTGGGGACAGGGAGGGGACGTTTGTTTTAGGGAGTGGGGGGAGGAATAGTAGAATGGTAGAATAATAGAATCAAGCTTGTTCTGTATTTTAGGGTTCCTGGCCAAAATTTGGCAAGATCCAGATCCGGGTTTTGAATGTAGTGGTGCATTGGCTTCCCAGGTCTTTCCGTGCAACAAGACCAGGTAAACGTGTTCCCTGTGAGTAACTTACACATTGGAGGGCCATAACATGGCATGATCTGGCAGGATCCCAAGTGCCCTATCTGGGTATTTGCTGCTCTGTTGCATCAGGATGCGGCCCTGTCCAGACTATTGTTGGTACAGGAAGAGTGCCTACACTTGTTCCATATTAACGGGGTAGAAATGCTGGGGGCACATTTGCTGGATCTAACAAGATCCAAGTGGTGGATCCGGGATTTTGCAGGCTGTTGTGCGGGGGGGATGCCTCAGAGTGCCTAGGTGGGTGTGAAGTAGGAGAAATTATGCAGAGGAATTTGAGGGTCTAGAGCCAAAAATGGTAGGATCTGGTAGAATTCTGCCTTTCCCGAGAGCACCTTTAACGGCTCAGTAAAAGTGAGAATAAATCAATGACAAACCTGTTCACTTCCCAGGATACATGCCTTTTCCTCTCCTTCTAGTTTGTGGATATAGGAGACTGCATTTCTAGAGGGAGGAGGGGAATCGAGGTGAACATAAGAATGGCCATACTGGGTCAGACCAAAGGTCCACCCAGCCCAGTGTCCTGTTTGTCCAAAGTGGCCAATGCCAGGTTCCCCAGAGGGGGTGGACCTAACAGGTAATGATCAAGTGATCTCTCTCCTGCCATCCATCTCCACCCTCTGACAAACAGAGGCTAGGTGCACAGACCCTTGGAGAAGTGGGGGGCAGAGTGGAGCAGACGCACAGACATCCCTGGGCAAAGCAATGGTCTTAGTGATGACTGAAGCCGGGTCCCTGCTGGGAAAGGCTTGAGACGCTTGTCGCATCTTTAAAGACGCTGCTCTAGGTGGACCCCTGTATATTGCCGATTGCTCGCCTCTCCTGCCCCAGCTCAGAGCTTGGAAATCGCTCCGGTGCCGGGCTCACCAAGGAGGGGCTGGGAGAGAGCGAGCCCGCACCGTCAGGGGGGCTGGTGAACACACCCCAGGCGGCGGGACGCGCTTGTAGCAGGGGACTGGCTAACTGCGCTCTGCCAGGGTGCTCAGGGAAGGAGGCCGCCGCACTCCCAGGCGCTCACACGACACCCGGGCTGGCACAGCGGCGGCGTACCCGGGTGCGGGGAATACATTGGCACTCGGTAAAGTCTCCCCACCCCCACCCAGCCCCGCGCTCCCCGGCCGCAGACACGCGGGCTGCTGTGCCCTTTCGGCAGCACCGCGGCGGGGCGGGGGCCGGAGGCTGGGCCGCGAACCCGCGCGGTGATCGCGGGCGGCTCGCCCCCGTCACACAGTTCAAGCGCACTTTCCCGCTGGGTGCCCATGAGGGGGCGGGGGAGTGAGGCGGGGGCGGGGGCGGGTCCTCCCCGCTCTCCCGTCCCCTGCTTCGGTGGAAAGGCGTCTCGTTAGAAGCCACCTACCCAGCCGTCGGGCCCGGAGCTGCGCGTTTGTCCTGCTCAGCCCCTTTGCTCCCTGCGAAGAAGGCGCTGCAGGAGCCGTGCTGCCTTCCAGCGGAACGGTGATTCCGCCGGACACGCCGCCGCGCAGGGGAGCGACCTGTAAACCAGGTGGAAACGGAGCCGTTTACGGGCACGCAGACCCTGGGCATCGCAGCCGTACTTAGTCCCGCTCTGGGGCTGCCGGGCAGCGAGCCCCTGATTTTAGGCTAGCAGCGAGGAGAGCCCCGTGCCGCCTTTCCCCGGGTGGAACCCGCTCGCTGAGGGACCAGGGCATCTTTAGATGCCCCGTTCCAGCCCGCGGCCGCGATGTGGAGCGCCACAGCCAGGGAAATCTCGCCTCTTAAAGGGGCAACAATTTAAAGCAGTAGGCTGAAATTAACCCTCTCAGGCTGGGTTTGGGGCGACAGGCTCCGGGGTTTGGGGAGGTGAGAGGTTCAGGCACTCCGCCTCCACCCCATTTTCTTTTTAGAGGCAATTCCACACAGTTAAGGAAGTGGAGGTTATTCGGGAACAGATTCAAAATGATTTGCTAGTTCCGCGTTTCTCAGAGGCGGCACCCGGCTTTGCTTGGGGCCGCAGCCTCCTGGGCAGTGATGGGGGCGAGGGCCACTAGCAGGGATTGGGCCCTGTCACCCCTGGAGCCAGCCAGGGTGAGTTCCCCACCTTCCCCAGAGCAGTGGGGCTCAGGCTTCCGGCTTCAGCCCTGGGGTGGCGGGAAGCAGGCTCTTGCCACGCACTGGCAGGCTCCGACTGGGGCTTCGGGCTCTGGCTGTGTAGCGACGGGCTCCGTCCCCCTCATTGCCCTGGCCCAGGCTGCCTCTCCGTCCCCGTCCCCCCCCAGGCCTCCCTACCCACCTCCCCATCCCAGGCTTAAGTTGTCCCCCGGCTTGCCAGGGCTGAGTAAGTCTGTTGTTGTGAAATATGACATTTGTATGTTTGTTAATATCACTTTTCACTACCTGCCAGCTAATTAACAAAGCTGCTGCTATGAAAAGTGATATTAAGAAATGTACAAATATTACTTTCTAGGGAAGCAGACTTATTAGCTAGCAAGTCTAAAAAAAAAAAAAAGAAAAAAAGAAAGAAAGAAAGAAAGAAATAGCAACCACAAAGGCAAAAGAAACAGCAACAAAAACATACAATGCTTGCATGGTATTGTATTTGTGTTTCTTTTCTGTAAAGAAGTAGAGACAACTGTATGTTATTTTTATTATTCGGTTTATGTATGTGGTTTTTTTAAATGCATTATTATGACTGGGACATGTATAATGTGCACATTTGTTTTTCCTAAAATTAATTATTTTAGGAAAAAATTGTCACAGCACCCACCAGGAAGAGTTGGCAGCCACATTCTGAGGCCACCAAAAAATTTGTTGCAAGAACCCCTATGCTAGTTCATATTTTACTGAACTTTTCCCCACATACTATTACTTAGACTGTTCTTGACACAATATTATTTCATTTCTAATTTTTATTGTTGAAAGATCTCCAGCTGTAAATTGGGAGCTGATGCAAACAAAAGCACTATTCATGTTATTTATTACTTTCATAAATATTAACTGCAATAACGTGCAGTGAGCCATCAAGCAACATTAAAGAAGGCAACTTTATGCAGATTAAATGCAAAGCTAATAGTTACTCTAGAAAGAGTAAACAAGTGGTGAGTTGATAAATGCATAAGAACGTGCAGTTTGATAGGCTTTATGCCTACTTGAACACATTTGTATTTCAGATCTGGAGATACAAAGTCCCTTTTTAATAGTGAAATATTAACTGAGCAATTTGTATCTGCAAGCCAAATAGATATCTGTCCCACTGTTCATCCTCTGAAAAATTTTGAATGATTTAAATTGACAGTTCTGGTCATGTTGGTTTGTTTTGTTTTTTTTTAACTCCACACAAGTACTGGAAAAGTAATCAATTATATCTGTTACTATCCAAGTCTAAATATATGTATCTTTGAGTTGAGAATTAAATGGATCTGCTGAGATTGCAACACTGTAACTATAGCTCAGATATGCTAAACCAATACATGGAAAGAGACCCATGAGTTTGACAATGAATGCCCTTCCTCAAACAAATCATTTTCACAGTGTTTTCAGTAAGAACATGATCATTTGAAGGCTTTACGCTCAATTTAACAGCATTTCTGTATTTGTTTGTCTGGCTAATGCAATTACTTTTCAATGCCACATCTGATCAATTCCAAGTTTTCAGGGAATGTTCTAGCCATCAATGGCCAGAAATATATTGATCTGTGAGAAAAATGGAAAGCCAAAACGTGGGAAATGGGAGACATATGAAGTCCCTGCCAGTTCTTTAGCACAGCTATAGTTTCAAGTATTCCTGCAATTGTTTACCCAGATCAAATAACTCGTTCATGGAAACCCATTATTGCCTTCCAGCATAAACATACTCCTATCTAATCTCTGCCTATCCTCACAATACAGTTTAACATGTTGACACACTCAATGACTTATCTCGTAGACAGAAAGAATAATGGTAGTGAGAAGAACTGGACCAGAGGGTAAAGGGGTCATACACATGATCCCTGGTTGGGGTGTGTGTGTGTGTGTGTGTGTGGAGAATAGGGGATCCTGAGCCACCATGGAGGGAAAAAGAGGGGAATGGGGCATATAGAGCCACTAGCAAAGGTTGGGAGACCCCAGAACTGAGGGTGGAAGGGGAATGGACGTGCATGCAAAGCCCCTGTCATGGAGAGAAGGGAAATGGGGGTGCAGACAGAGCTGCTGGTATGGGGGAATTTGGTATGTGTAGAGGGGTAATGGGGGATACACAGAACCCCTGGCAGGGGAAATGGGAGGTTGTTGCAGGGAGCCCCTAAAACAGAGGGGCATGGGAGGATGGCACCCAGGGATCTTGTGGGGGAGAATAGAGAGATGCAAGAGGCCCCTGGTATGCACAATAAGCTTGGCCTATACAAGCTATGAAGCATACAACCCCATAATTTAATTTTAAATGCACAATTTCTAAACTAAGTAGATTTATTGGAGGGTGGATCAGAATCTATGAAACATGGAATGTTTCGTTATAGACTGTCCCAATAAAAAGGGGGTTGAACAGGGATTCTGTAGTAGAGATATATTCCAACAAGGTCTGTCCTATGTTTGACTTTTTGAAGCCACCTCTCTGTACATTTCACAAACTTTGATATAAACAAATTGATGTGTTTATTCCCAGCTGCTGAAAGAAGATCTAAAAATCTTTCATGGGGATTCCAATAGCAATGGTCACTCTTTTCTTTCATGTGAAGATGACCAGGCTAAAAATTAAAGAAAGAAAGTTATGCTTTCAGCAATGGTAAGTGCAACAGGATGAAATCACATTACAGGTAAGATCAGAATGTTATCAAGCATATATACCACTATTTAAAGTCAGATTAGATAAACCGGAATTTTTTCTGCATAAAAACAGATCACTCCCATTAACTAATGACACTGAATAAAAGATAAATCACTGTTAGTTTAGCTGGTATTGCAGTTTCTACAGCTGCAACAGGATGACAAAATTCCAAGACAGCTCTGAGGATGAGAAGTAAACATATAGGAAACAGAAAATAAAGAGGAAGAAAATTCAGCATTAGCTCACAAACTCTGCTGAGAACTCATGTCACCTCAAGAATCAATGACAAGATACACTTTATAAAATTATATAGACTGCCTTTCCATAGTCATGTATTTCCTATTTTTTTCTGCCTCCATTACCAGAGGACACATTCTGCTTTCTAGCTAAACAGCTGTTCATCTCAAATGTGGGATGTGATTTTGACATCTCACTGTCTGGCATTTGTGCACAAATTTATTGAATATTCCAGTGTGAGACTAAGCTGGATATTCTGTAGGATAAGGGTTATTAACCAGAAAGTATGTGGGGGGGAAATAAAGATAATGCGTATGAGAAAAAGTTATCTGCAGTGTTGGACATTCAAGATGAACAAATTAGGAAGAAATTACAAAATCCATTCAGGAATCAAGATGACTCCACTGTAGGAAGTGAAAAAAATAGTCCTGACCCAAAGCCCATGGAAAACAATGGGGGAGTTTCTTCATTGACTTCAAAAAGGCCTCAGATCAGGCCCATTTAAAGAAGCACATGTGTCAGGGTCTTTTTTGTTGGGTGTCCCCTATTCTTTCTCTGATGGAGACTTCACAGATTGAAGCCCTTGTCATCAATTTAAAACAGCCACTGGCATCATATGTACTCCAATCTGAGGGGGAAAAAATAAATGCTTGCTTTGAGCATGACAGGCTATAGCTGAAGTAGCCAGGGGAGATGTTCATTGACAAATAACTGTTCTCTTTTAGCAATAAAACATCTTAATTGTATCTTAGAATACATATGTTTTTAATTCTTAGAAAATGTCAGTCTGTCTTAATTGGTTAAATATAACTAAGTAATCAACGAGAGAAGTGAAATGAAACCTAGAGCACTGATTTATTCCCCACCCCCCCAATCTGTATCAGAAAAGATGAAGTTTTGTTTAGCTTTGACAATAATTATGATAAATGTTATTTTAGTAAGCAGGATGCCATTGTATCTCCCTAAACAGCAATTGGAATACATATGCCCTATATCAAACAGTTTACCATTTTGTCAATGGGTCTGAAGTCCTAGGTATTGTTTATCCTGAATGTAAGAAGGGCAGATAGTATCCCCAAATTCTGAACTATTCACATTATTCCAAGGTTCCACCAAGAATGTCTTCCATAAAAAAGAACAATGTCTAGACCAAAAAGGGTTAAGAATCCCTGTAGGCTGGGTAAAGCAGCTAGAATATGTGGTAAAGAGTTTATTTTTCACTTTTATAAAATGTGTGTGTCATTTGTCACCAAGGCTTGCAATCTGGAGTTTTGGTTAGGTAATTAACAGTGGTCAAAACAGCCTCTTGGAATCTGTTTGGCCCAGGAGATTGCAACAATTTTTTTCAGTGACAGACCGTGCCACTCTGATTCCTGTCTATTACTTTGAGATTACACTACTGAAATGTGCTCTACATGGAACTCTGTCTTAAATCCATTTGGAAACTCACACTGGTGCATAACCAAACGTGGACCCAATTTTGTGTGAACCTGAGTTGATGAATTTTGCATGATTATGAGGTAAAATTAATTATTTTTACATAAAGGCAGGTGGAACTCATCAGTTCTGACTGAATTTCACCTGGAGATTTTGCACTTGTTCAAAACTAAAATTCAGAGTTAAATTTGGATTGGGTAAACCCTTGCAGATTGAACTGGAAGGAAAGAGTTCCATGAACCACTAAGAAAGCAACATTGTCAAGTTCTCAACCTGGAGCCCTAGTTCCTGGTTCCAAATGCCATAGGCCCTCAGTGCCTTCCAGCACACTGCCTTAATTGACTGTTATTGCTACCTTTCTATATTTCCTTTATGCCAATCCATGGTTGTCTTGAATCTGATTAATGCATAATTTCTTAATCGATAACAAAACAATTCAGTAGCTTCAGGGGAAAAAATCTGCTTTTTTATAATAAATAAAGACAGAGATAAATTGTTAATTATCAAAAATAAGAGCAAATGAATAATTCACACTGAATAAATAGTGGAACAGTAAGAAAATTGTCAGCCACAATTTTTCTAAATAATCTTTACTATCTAATTATTTTCATAATCACTATTTCTTCATCATAAGAAAATGAAATTGCCTTCTGGGGCTTTAAAAATATCCTAAGCACTAAACATTTCAAAATTTCCTTATGATTTTGGTTAACATATAACTGATGAAGGCATTTGTCATTTTAAATAACTAACTTGTAAGAGTAAATAGGCTGTGTAAGTAGTAAGTAAGAGTAAGTAGGCTGTCTACACAAAGGACCTAAAAAAAAAAGGATTGTGAAGGCAGAGAAATCTTAGTTCAATCTGTATCAACTTTTAATGTGATAGTTAAAAGATGTGATCATGGAATATAGAATGTCATCTGCAAATAGTGTAATGGACTACACATATTGTGAAACATGTGGCTGTAACTGTATCTTGTAAAATGATGACCATGCTCCTGGCATTACAGATCTAAGTGTAGACCTTTAGTGTGCACTTTACAAATACAGAATCGCTTCAATTGGTTTGTGTGGATGTAAGGAAGGACATAATTTTGCCAAAGGTTTGAAAGCATCCACTGCCCTGTGAACTCCTACACATATACATATTTAAATAGGACAGTAATTAATGCTGTAGTCAATCCTAAAATGGATATTACAGCCTAGTCTGGGCAACATCTCAGCTCATCAGTTCTCCCAAACATGAGGGAAATATGCATCTGGCCAGTGTGCCATCTGAACAGTGCAGAGTGGCTGGAACAGGGGGTGAGAATATGAGCCATGATGTCTGCATGCTATACTGATGTATTTTTTTTTAAGAAAGTGCCCTGTGTCTTAGAAGTACTGGAGCAGGTGAATGTATAAGCTCACATTTTACTTTATAGTTAAAAAGTAGCCAGATAAAGTCTGAGTCAGATCCCATCTAGCATAAATCAACGCAGCTGCACTGAAGTCAATTGAGTTATGTAGATTTATACCAGATAAGAATCTGGCCCAAAGTATCCTCTTTTTTTCCCCCTTCGTAACCTGGTGGCATAATATTCAGATGGACTCCCAGCACACATGCAAAATACCTCTCCCCCTTATACACCTTTGAATTGCCTCTTGCTCATGCCCTATTCATTTTCTCACCCTCTGAAAAGTTCCTCCTAATTTACTCATGCCACCCTATGTTTTCACTCTCACCTCCCAAAACCTGGTGGGCTCTGCCCTTGCTTCATCTCCCAGCAAGTCCCTGGTGACTCTTCCTCTCTCTCTACAACACTGCCCTCCTTCCACCCTGTTTTATTGTCTGCTACTTCTCCTGAAAGTATAGATATCCTCTGGGGGGGGGGGGGAAGAGGGAGACAGGATGATAGCTGTTCCAACAGACTCAAGAGCCTTCTCATGAGACTGCTGGTGTAGGATCCTCTTGGAGTTGCAGTTTCCTGGACTGTATACATGGAAATATTCTCCACTTCGGTATAAGTGACTGGAATCATTGCGGGGTGGGAGAGAGGGACTATAACTATGTGAAATAAGCAGGAATCTAACATTCCTGCTAGAAAAGTTGTTTTTGTTTTTTTTTTGCGCGGGGGGGGGGGGCTGTGTATATAACAGAAGATTATCACTCATTACAAAAACATGAAATATCTGAATTGAAGCTCTAGCTCTGATTACACATTTCCCAAGAGCTACAGACTCCAGGGCAAACAAAGCACTCATGCAACTCCAACTAGGGTTGCTTAAAGTTATAATAAACCACCCACAGCAATTTATTCAGAAAACATGAAATTCATAATTTAGCAATAAAAGCAAGACTCACATAAATATGTGCTCATTTTGGGGAAGTGAAAATGCATCGCCATGGTATTTTTGAAGTGCTCTTTTTTTTTTTTTTAGCTGTAGTCTGTGGCATCATAATTTCAGAATGATGTTTGTATTATGCTATCTACTTATATCACCCCCATCACAATAATAATCTGAGTGCCTCTCAAGCACTTACACAACCCAACCTTGCCGGAGGAACAGAGAAATTAAGTGGCTTTTCCAAAGTCACAAAGGGATCTGTCTCTTTTAGGTACTTATAGTGACAGGTATGGCAGTTTCCTGCAATATCTTTGGGCAATCTTATTTAATTAAATGTAAATAGCTTTGAAGTCCACTGTATTATAAATGCAAAATTTATGTATTATTGTGGGATTGTATAACTTCTCTGTGGGGGAAGGACATGGCCAATGTTATGTACCTCAGATGACTATTTTAAGCAAAGTGTGAGACGAATGAACTTTCGGGGCAAAAAAAGAGAAGGAGATTTCCCAGGAAATCTCTATGGGGAGGTCTATGCAAATATACCCTCTCCTGTTATGCAAGAACTCAGCCTTTTGAAGCTTCACCTTCAGGAGGTGACCTTAGTCTGCTGATTACTTGTTAAATGAGGACAAGATCAAAAGCCAAAACCGTACAAAGGAAAGAATGAACGATTTGAAGCAGTGCTTGTTCTGTTATGAATTTATGACCACAGAGATCCCGCTTGGTGGGCTTTGAAGGACTGAGCACCTACCAGATCCTTTGTTGGAGCTGGGGGTGATCTCTGGTAAGTTTATGTATGTATTTAAGAACACATTAAGAATAAACATGCTTACTGAGGAAGGGCTGTTTGGTAGCTTACAGGTACAGACAATGACAGTTTTCACAGCCTCTGAGGAGAAAGCAAAGAAGGCCTGTGTACTGTGGAATTCACAGCATAGGCAGGGAACCATACAGCTGGAAATACTAGCTAGGAAGCCTAGAGTGGTTACCCTTGCTGGACCACAAGAAGGAAATACAGGTGTAGTTGCGCGGAACTGTGACACGTAAACGCCCCCTATTACTGTAGCATCTGAGTCCCTCACCATCATTAATATACTCATCCTTACAACAGCCCTGTGAGCAAAGGCGCGGGAAGTAGAGGTGTGGGGTTGGGGGTGCTGCAGCACCCCCAAGTTTTGCACCTGGCATCCCGGCCACCAGCCCCATGCCCCTGCCACCCAGGGGGCTCTGCTGCTGGTCCCAGGGTCCCACCTGGCCGCCAGCCTGGGACCCTGCTTGTCTGCAGGTCTCACTCGGCCACAAGTCCCATGCTCGGGGGCTCCACTGCTGGTTCCAGGGTCCCGCCCAGCTGCCAGCCCCACATGCAGGGTCCCAGCTGCCTTACTCTGCTTCCCCCACTACTGGAGCCACAGCCCTGCTCCCAGCCCCAGCTCCAGCAAGCATGGACAAGGGTAAGAGGGATGCAGCTCAGCACACCCATTCCAAAAACTGTTCCAGCACCACTGGCTGTGAGGTAGGGAAGTATTATCCCCACTACACAGATGGAGAACTGCGATACAGAGAAGCTCCGTGACTTGTCTAAGGGGACACAGGAAGTCTGGAGCAGAACCAAGAATTGAACTTTGAGTCCCAGTCAAGTCCATTAACAATACTTAAGGATCCGATTCTGTCACAGAGTCTGTGACTTTAACAGACTTCTGTGACTTCTTCGGCTGACTCAGCCCACTGCAGGGCTGGAGCAGCTGTCAATCCGCACCCAGGAGCAGTGGCAGGGCCAGAGCAGCAGCTAGCGGTCAGCCCCCAGTACTGCTAGAGCAGATAGAAGCCCCCAGGACAGGGGCTGGCGGTGAGACCCCGATGCACGAGCAGCAGCTCCTAGGGCCAGAGCAGGAGCAGGCACCATGGCCAGGCTGAGTCGTCCCCCGGGGCTGAAGCAGGTGCCAGCGGTCAGCCACTGGCAGGGCTCCAACTGGTAGCTCCCCCAGGGTATTTTTAGTAAAAGTCACAGGCTTCCATTAATTTTTGTTTATTGCCTGCAACCGTTCCGTGACTTTACCAACAATACCCATGAAAAAAATCTTAACCTTAACAATACTATCCCATTTCTTATATTATCCTTCCTCTTTTTGGAAGTACAGCCTCTAAAAGGGGCATTTCTGGACATGATGTAACAGCACTTACTACACAGAGTGAGCACTGATACCATTTTAAAAATATCAATTTAACAAATTGGAGTGTTCTCTTGGGGTATTGTCTTGACATTTCAAGACATCTGGAAAGGCATACAGGCATCAGTAGGTATTTCTGTGGGGAAAAAATCCCACTGAAAGGTTCACTGAATCTAGCCTCACAACTGTATGATGCACATAAAAGTCCATTTTCTCTAAAAATAACATCTGTTCCATGCTGTATTGTAGGTGGCTCATGGCTGACTTCAGACATTCCACTTTGTGTTGAACTTGAATGGAAATCTTTGCACCTTTTCACTCTGTGACTAAGGGTTATGCATTAACTAATAAAGAGGCTTTTTTCTTGATACAAATAGCATATACATATTTAGTGAAAACAAAACTTATTTATCCTCTTTTGTAGACTTTTTGTCTTAGTAGACTGCACATATCACAGTGAGAGGTTGACTGGGGCAACAATTTAACTGTTATTTAAATAAAATTGAATTAGAAGGTTTATTGCTTTTTAGAAGCATACATTTATTAATTTATGCTCTGTATTATGATAAATGACTCCTCGGCATACTTTGAACCTATTTCTTCCTTTGGTAATGCATCTCATTTACCAACCTGATATTTTTCTTTGTAGTTGTGGCTTAGAATAGACAAAAACACCAACTCCTCAGACATTTAACAAAATATGCTCCTGATTGAATAGCTGTGTCAATATAAAGTTCCTGCATGTTTTGTTTTCTAAGGTTAATTAGCTTTGGGCTCTGGGTGGGCACACACACCTCTCCTTTCACAGTGGGTGTGATTTTGAGAAGTCTAGGTACAAATCGGTCTAAACAAATGTAACATTATGGAGGCAGTTTGTAGCAACTCTCATAGTTAGAATTGCATTGTAAAATGGGGTTAAAATAAACCATGAATTCTTGTCTCTCTTTAAAAGTAAGTGTCCAATTGCTGTGAAATTTCCCCTTAGTCTTTATGCCTGTTTTGTAGCACCACTGTCTGGCAAAACATGGATCTGCTGAAGCCTGCCTCAGTTTCCCCTTCAGTGGGGCAGCAATGGATTCACTTTAACAGCTGAGGCAAAGAGAAGCCAAACAAACATTCTAATTAACATAAGCATATCTCCCTTTAAATAAGCCCTCTGAAAGGAGCACTTGCACAACAGTTTAAAGGCTCTTACCTGAGAGCCCAGGTTTGGGCTACTCAAAAAAAGTTTCAAACAAAAAATCTCCAAGAGCTAGGCTAGCTATCACCATCCCTTGCCAGGTATGCATCTTCTAGTCTCCATACTACATTTTCCCTTGCTGCATCTTCCAGTTTTAAACAGGTCAGCCCTTGCGGGAGGGGGGCGGGGAAGGGAACCTCATTAATTATATGCAGGTGGTTCTGATTGCAGCTCCAGGCCAGCCTTTCAAAGGTAGTACACTCCCATCACAATTTTCCATTCAGCTTTGATTGGTTTCTCTTCATAATTATTTTAGTAGGAAGACTTTGAATTTTCAATCTGGTTTAATTTTTTCCATGACAGGCCTACTTTTCATTGTTAATGAATGGCTCTTAACAGCACCCTTGTCCATCTACATAAAACTTGTTAGAGATGTGGATCCTAAGAGATCTGATGCAATGTGTACATTTTTTTAAAGTGGGATTTAAGGTGATTTTTAGCTGTTATTCACACTCTAGCTAGAGCTGGATGGGAATCAGATTTTTAGTTTTTCAGGAAAGTTTCTGATTTCTAATTATTTTCCATTCTAAAACAGAATGCAAAACAAACGTGTTTGATGTGTCCCAGGAAACAATGCGATTCATTGCTCAGGTTATTCTGATATCATAGTATATAAAAATTTAAATTGAAAATTGAAATGAAGTCACTTTGAAACAGAAAATCAAAACAGTATGTTCCAAAAATGTCAAAACATTTTTTTCAGTTTTTTCTTTCAAAACAATTTTTTTGTCAAAAATGACACGCTTCTGCAAAAAGTTTTGTTTTCAGTGAATCAGCATTTTCTAATGAAAAAATATTCCCTCCAAAAATGTCTTACCAGCTCTAATTATGGCTGAAAGCTTATGCACACAGGATGTAAGCTGGATGTAGTGATGGGGGATGGGGGAGGGAGGCTAAGACCAACCAGGATTGATGGCGATGGATGCACATGAAACCTTCTCTGTCAGAAGCTACACTTTTCTGTCAAACTGTGTGTCCTATGCCAAAGAAGAGCTCATGAGCAGCTGCTGACACAAGGATTCAAGCCCAGCTACTGATGGATAAAACATTTTCCATCATTACCTGCACTTCTACTTCCCAGAAGTGCCCGGATCAGTACCCTGAGCCTCCCACTACTGAGAGCAAAGGCCATTCTCCCGAAGCCACTATAGGAATAGAAATATACTTCTCCTAGTAAAAAACCTTCATTTGATAAAATGACTGTTATGGGTTGGCCCCAGGAAAGAAATGAAACCTACAAATCTCAAAGTCAAATAGCATCCACTATAGCATATAATCTGTTGTTTCTTCCTCCTCAAACAGAGCTGTCCATCTGTCCTCTATCTAATATTTTAGAGTCTTAAACAGTCCCAGTAGTCTTCACTTTAATTTGTGTCTTCCCCAGAGCATCAAAAGCCCTTCAGGACGACATGGGACAGGCATTTGGGAGGGACTCCATCAGAGTCCACAGAAAACTACTCCACAAATATGGAGCTCCCACCTGACTCTCAGACACTTTAGATGTACAGTGGGGTTTCTTAGGGGGTTGCCCTGTAGGGAAATCCTTCTGGACTCCCCTCCCACCACCACATACACACATCAAACTCAGCTTTACTCCCCATGGCTCCACCCCTCTGGATAGTTTTAGCCTGCTCTGGGTAGAATCCTGGAACCTGGGGAAACTGAGTACCTGGCTGAGTCTCCTGAATGTAGCTACCTTGGAGCAGCTGGGTCTCAATAGTCTTTTCTGTCCTCTGTGAGAGCAGACAGACAGACAGTTTGGGCTGGCCCCAGAACATAGGTCTCCCTGCACACTGTTCTCAGTTAGTGGCAGCTCAGATGCTCTTCTCATTCTCCTGGCTTCCTCTCTAGGTACTGCTGGAACAAGAATCCTAAATATTCCCTTTTGTCCATGGCTTGGCAGAGGTTCAGGAAGCTCAGTTCCAAATCTTGATCCTCTGCAGTGGCTGTCTCTTCTTCACTGCTGCCGCTTGTGTGGGAGCAATATTTAATCCGGCTCTCTCCACATCTCCAGCCTTCCACTTTTAAAATGTCACCTTTTATCCTTATTTACTATCCCATTGTATCTGAGATACCATTGTTATTTTTGAATGTAAATAGAAGGAAATAACAGCGGTATCTTAGAGAGCTCTGCCTGGTGTCTATGAGCAAATTTTCTTTTTTTAAATGGCAGACAGTTTGGGTCACAGGGAGTTGAATGCACATATGGAATAGAAGCTATTAAAATCAGTATTTAGGGCTCCGTGGTAAAAGTGGTATCTCCTATGCTAAATATAGAAAGATACCACAGTTGTCACAGAAACCTGGAATAGTGAAAACTGAATTTTTAGATGGCACTCACTCTGTGTGTATATTATTTACAGATTCATAATACAGTAGAACTTCAGAGTTATGAAGACCAGAGTTACAAACTGACCAGTCAACCACATACCTCATTTGGAACCAGAAGTACACAATCAGGCAGCAGCAGAGACCAACTATCCCTCCCTTACCCCCCCCCCAAATAAAATAAAAGTACAGTACTGTGTTAAATGTAAACTGCTAAAAAAATAAAGGGAAAGCAGCATTTTCCTTCTGCATAGTAAAATGTCAAAGCTGTATTAAGTCAATGTTCAGTTATGGGTGTTATTTCAAAAGTTTACAACGTTTTGTTCAGGGTTATGGAACATTTCAGAGTTATGATAAACTCCATTCCCGACGTGATCGTAACTCTGAGGTTCTACTGTATATAAAAACATTACTTATAATGTATATGGCATAAATTATTTTCTATCAGGGAAGGCACCTGTCTGAAGAAGAGGATGAGTGGGAGGAGGCTCCCACTTAGCTGTTAGAGTTTATGACAGCAGTCCTGCCTCCTGGTAGGGGAACCCAGGCCACCCACTCCAGCAGGTTCAGACCCAGGGGCCCTCTTGGCACTGTAAAGAAGGTGTCTGCTAGCTGTGGTCCAGCTAATATCCTTCCCTGGATCTCTTCCTACTGCTCTTCCCTCCTTGGTGCATGACATGGCTCATGGTTCTCCCTTGCAATCTAGCCCACAGGACTCTACAGGCCGAGGAGTCCCAGCTTCATGCCGCATTTCTCCTCCTGTTGTTACCCCTCTGTGGCAGTGAATGCATATCTGTCTATCTCTGCCTACCACCCTGCTGTGCTGAAGAGATTCCTTTTTAATCCCCTCCTCCAAGTGGAGCTTGTCCATCAGGCTTCGCAGGCCCTGAGTTTTTCCTGAATCCCTATGTCTCCAGTGTGAGGTTTATCTACCTATTCACACACACGCCCTTTACATTTGGTGTTGGGGTGCCCGAGTTCAAGCCTCACAATCCACCATCCTGGAAAAAGAAATCTTCATTCTGGTATTTGTTTCCCTGCCTGTGGGCCACCTAGAAGGCATAGGGTTGTAAGGCCAAATACCACTTCGTTATCCTGGGGTTGGTATCTTTCATGGAACTTAGCCAGCAGAGGCATACATGGTCAATTATCAAATGGAAAGGATTTCCCAGTAGATAATATTGCAATATTTCTATGGCCCACTTCGCTGCCAGGGCCTCTTCCTCCATAGCTGAGCAGGCCTTCCATGGAGAAACAATTGCTAGCTGATACAGAGTATCAGAGTATTAAAGTCATGGGACAGCCTGGACTCTAGCCCTATGTCTGAAGCATCTGTGCGGAGTATGAGCTGTCATGTGAGGTCAGGGTGGAAGAGGGCTGGTTCTTTGCTCAGATGGTCTTTCAGGTCCTGATGGCTTTGTCACAGACCTTGGACAATGCAACCCTCTTGGAGCTAGTGTTCTTCACTCAGGGCAGGCCTACACTACAAACTTGCATCGGCACAGCTGCATTGATGCAGCTCTGCAGCTGTAGTGTGTCTGGTGAAGATGCTCTAAGCCAACATGAGAGAGCAGTTCCATCACCTTAATAACTCCACCTCTGTGAGAGGCGGTAGCTATGTCGGCAGGAAAAGCATTTACATGGGGGTTAAGGTTGGTATTACTATGTTGCTCCAGGACGTGGATTTTTCATACTCATGAGCGACATAGTTAAACCGAAGTAAGTGTATAGTGTAGACCTGGACTAAGTCTGTGAGGGGTTTTGTAGCAAAGCTGGGTATGAATCATCTAAAGTAGCCTGCCAGACCCAAACATCATCTAACTTGTTTTTTCATTGACAGGATAGGGCAATTAGTCAAGGCCTGGGCCTTGGACCTCTGAGGTGCCTTCCCAATTAGAGGCCTAATTTTGTCTCTTCCGATGGTATATTCAAGTTATGTTATCTCATGAAACCCCAACCAGCACTTAGCCAGGTTCACCATGTGGTTGGTTTCTTCAAGGGCCCATAGGACCACCAAGATATGCTTGCGATGTTTCTCCCAATTATAAATGTAAATAACTATATCACCCATATTGGTTGTCACATACTGGCTGTTTGGTTGCAGGCCCATGTTCATCAGCCATTGCAGGCAGCTGCAGCCCTATGAAGGCTGAAGGGCATGGTCTTGAACTGGTACAGGTTGAAAGGTGTTGCAAAGGCTGCTTTTTTCCTTGAGATGCCTTTGTTAAGGAGATCTGCTAGTAACCCTCAGTCTGATCTAAGGTTGAGATACACTTTGCAGCACCTAATCACTCCAACAACTCGTCCACTCATGATATAGGATACATATCAAACATAGATATTGCATTCATTTTCCTAAAGTTGATTCAAAACTGAGAGATCCTATCCACCATGGGCACTAACACAATAGGGCTCTGCCACCTGCTGTGAAACTCCTCTACATCCCTGAGGTCCAACATCACCTGCAGTTCCTGATATACAACGTCCCACATCTTTCTGAGTGGGGGATGTAGGCTCTTCTGGACCTTCCATTCAGGCTCCATCATGATGTGGTGACAAATCAGCCTGTTTTGTCCAGGCTGTGATGAGAACATGTAAGGGACCATGTGCAACATCTGAGTCCATTGGGATGGCTGGAACCCTTCTCTATAGGAAATAGTGTCTGGGTCCTTGGGTAACAGAGCCTGGGGGGCCCAGCTGTGGATTGAAGGGGGAAGGATGTTATGAATAAGCTCTTACAGTTTCATCAGGCCTACAGAAGGTTTATGTGGAGAATCTGGATCTCCCTCTTCTTTCCCAGTTGCTATATCTCATAATCTGTTGCCCTCACCTGTTGTATTACCACAAAAGACCCTTGCTTACTAGCCATTAATTTTGACTCTGAGCTTGGCAATACCTTGTCACCAGGTTGGAATTTACATGGATTGGTGCCCCTCTTATAGGCTTGCTCTTGACAGTCTGAGGCCCTTCAGAGACTTTCCTTTGCAAAATCCTTTAGTGTCTTCAGCTTCTTTTGTAGCTGGAGAACATACTCTATTATCCCAGTACCTTTGGGCTCTTGCTTCTCCAAGATTTCCTGAACTAGGTCTATGATTTCCCAGTGTTGTCTCCTACATAACAACTCAAAGGATGAGAACCCCTTTGAGGTCTGCGGAATCTCATGCACTGAAAATAGGAGAGGCGTTAACAAGCAATCTCCATGGCGAGAGTCTTCAGACACGAACTTTCTCAGCCTCCCCTTCAGGTTCCCATTGAAGTGTTTGACTAGCCAATCCATTTGAGTTGGTAAGCAGATGTCCTCAGAGTTTCAATATTCTGTAGTTCACACCAGTTCTTCATCATGAAAATAATCCCCATGTCTATAATTATTTCCTTGGGGCTCCTCACCGTCGCAAAGACCTTCATGAGTTCCATTGCTCAGGTCGCCCTGTTAGTTGAGCAAAGAGAAGCAGCCTCGGGGTACTGCATTGAATAAAACACGATTACCAGTATGTGTTGGTGTCCATTCATGCTCTTCTCTAGCAGTCCTATCAAATCCATGTTTATTCTCTCAAGGTATGTAGTCTATTGTCTCAAAGGAGTAGTCTAGTACTGGCATTGTTATCAGGGGGTCCCTTGGAGTGGTCTTGTATCCTGCCAACTGACTCTCCAGGTAGGACATGCATTATTCCCTCCCGCATTTGCAAATGCCCAGCCAACAGAACCGGTGGTAATCCCCTCAAGGGTTTTCTCCCTTCCCAGATGTCCAGCACATGGTACCAAGTGCAGAAGTCAAAGTAACTCCCTCCATAAAGACAGGTTTCAGAGCAGCAGCCGTGTTAGTCTGTATCCACAAAAAGAACAGGAGTACTTGTGGCACCTTAGAGACTAACAAATTTATTTGAGCATAAGCTTTCATGGGCTACAGCACACTTCATCAGACGCATAGAATGGAACATATACTAAGAAGGTATATATACATACAGAGAACATGAAAAGGTGGAAGTTGCCATATCAACTTTAAGAGGCTAATTAATTAAGATGAGCTATTATCAGCAGGAGAAAAAAAACGTTTGTAGTGATAATCAAGATAGCCCGTTTCAGACAGTTGACAAGAAGGTGTGAGGATACTTAACATGGGTCACTTGAATAGATATGTGGCCTTGAGGAATTCCATTATGGAAAAGAAACCCTTGAGGAATTCCACCAGGATTTCAACCATTTCCACCCCACCATCAACCTCAGCCTGGACCAATCCACACAAATAGTCCATTTCCTGGACACTACTGTGCTAATAAGTGATGGTCACATAAACACCACCCTATATCGGAAACCTACTGATCGCTATACTTACCTACTTGCCTCCAGCTTCCATCCAGGACACACCACACGATCCATTGTCTACAGCCAAGCTCTAAGATACAACTGCATTTACTCCAATCCCTCAGACAGAGACAAACACCTACACGATCTCTATCAAGCATTCTTAAAACTATAATACCCACCTGCTGAAGTGAAAAAACAGATTGACAGAACCAGAACAGTACCCAGAAGTCACCTACGACAGGACAGGCCCAACAAAGAAATAACAGAACTCCACTAGCCATCACCTTCAGCCCCCAACTAAAACCTCTCTAACGCATCATCGAAGATCTACAACCTATCCTGAAAGACGATCCCTCACTCTCACAGATCTTGGGAGACAGACCAGTCCTCGCATACAGACAGCCCCCCAACCTGAAGCAAATACTCACCAGCAACCACACAACAAAAACACTAACCCAGGAACCTATCCTTGCAACAAAGCCCGATGCCAACTCTGTCCACATATCTATTCAAGTGAAAACATCATAGGACCTAATCACATCAGCCATGCCATCAGGGACTTGTTCACCTGTACATCTACAAATGTGATATATGCCATCATGTGTCAGCAATGCCCCTCTGCCATGTACATTGGCCAAACTGGACAGTCTCTATGCAAAAGAATAAATGGACACAAATCTGACATCAGGAATCATAACATTCAAAAACCAGTAGGAAAACACTTTCTGGTCACTCAGTAACAGACTTAAAGGTGGCAATTTTGCAACAGAAAAGCTTCAAAAACAGACTCCAAGGAGAAACTGCTGAACTGGAATTAATTTGCAAACTAGATACCATTAACTTGGGCTTGAAT